ACCTGAAATCTTGAATAAGTTTCATAAGAATAAGTTGTGTTCCTTTCCTAAACATGAAAATTTTGATGGCATGAATTCGGGATAGTCTCATATTATTTGAAAACAAATAAAGAAACTAAAGGTGTTGTAATTTATGGATCAAAAAGTTCGAATTTTCCAGAAATAATTTTGATAAAACTTTGAAAATTTTCGTTTTTTTTTTTCTAAATTTAGATGGTGGTCTTAATCAAGGTTTAATTGATAGTAGTCAACGAGATATTAATAAATATTGTCAAACAGAAGTTATTGAAAATTATGATGAGGATAATGAGTCCGATGAAGATATAGACGACAACGATGGTAAATTAACTTTCTCTAATTACTATTTTCTAACACGAATTATTCTTTTAGATAATAATACAGGAAAAAATAATCGTACAGATAATCATAGTGATGATGAAATAATCAGTCGTAAAATGAGTGGTGAAATAATTCAATGTTTACGTTTAAAATATATCAATACATCAATTACATTAGAATCCCAATGTGTATCAGAATTAGTTGATGTTATACAAACAGCAAAACTTGATGGTAAGCTTGATATTAAACTATATCAAAGTTGTCGAAAATTACTTAATAGTGAATGTACTGATATGGATCAAGAAGATTGCTTAAAATTACTTTATCAAAAAAATAAAATTGATGATGATGCTTGTATTGAACAAGTGAAACATGTTATAAAAGAAGGACAAGCTTATATACGTCTTGATCGAAAATTATCAGTTGCATGTCGAGCTGATGTTTTGCAATATTGTAATGATATTCCTATAGGTAAAATGAATTGAAAAATATATTAACAAAAACAAGAAACAACAGATCATTTACTTATTTAGGAAATAGAAAACAATTACAATGTTTATTGAGTATGAATAAACATATTCGATTGTTTCATTATTCGAATTGGAAGATCTAATGATTAGACAAATCGAAGAAAAAAATCACGAGTACTAATCAGTTGAGAAATTTTTAAAAAAACAAAACCTTTATACTTATTTCTATTTATCATACATTTTAAGAAGATCGTAAATAGAGATTAAAGAGTCTATCTATTGATTAGTCTCACTTGTGATTTAATTATCAATCGTGTTTTCTTTTTATTGCAATTGTTCAAAAGGCGTTTCGAAAAAACTTTCTATTTACAATATGATGTTTAATTGATAGATGTTCACAGACTCCGAAACTGTAAGAAACTGGACATCAGCTAGTAGTTAGATATTATTCGTCAATGTCCATCAAAAACAAAAAGATTTTTCAAAATATTTTATAAAATTCTATCCAAAACCATCTGAAAAAACAATTTGATTTGAGAGTTTTCAGAGATAATATACATATCTAAAAGGATTCTTATTATAAACATCCTTTAACTGGTGGAAAAGACAGTTTTGAGTCGACTATCTGTACAAAATAAATGATAATCTCAGAGAAAAAATATTTTATAAACGGTGTCAAGATTTAAATATTTTAAGCAATTAATTTTGGATAAACGTACAAAATTATGAAAAAAACCGAAGCTTTCATCGAAAACAAGGTTACAAGTTGAAAATAAAGATTGAGATAAACTTAATCCATTGTTATATCGAGATTCATTGTCATTGTTTCTTTGGAAAAGTCTTCATTTTAAGTTTCGAGGAAACTTCAGAGAAATTTTTTTCACAAGTTCAATTTAATCTTTTTCTATTCAATTAGAGCCTGTCGACTCGAAAACTTTCGGATTAGGAACTAGGCGAACCGTATTTTGATATTCTCAGTGAAATTATCTTATCGAAATCCAATAGTCACTCCGAACATACAAAATAGCCTTTTCTGAACTTTTGTATTAGATGAATAGCACATCCTACACATTTTCCAAGTGGCTAGATCCTATCGGTTCTGAGTGTGAGACCAAGCCGCCACAGTTTAGACTTAATTAATTCAATAAACGCTAATAGTCGCAACTTAAAATTCTCATTTGAATTCACCTAACCAGAAAATCACTTGAACTGATACACATCGTTTGAGTCCTTTTTGGGTCTACAAAAACATCTTGATAAGACTAGTACGAGTCTAAAAAGCTTTGTTCCTATGGTTTCTCAGAGCCAAATTATGATGACTTTTGTGAATTTTTGAATCAGTTGTTAGTCATATAGCAAACAATCAAAAAGCAGAATATAGATTTAAAGCTTTGCTCATAGACAGGTCGAATGATGAGAAGAACATGCTGGAAGCTTCGGCCAAAAAACAAGCATTTTGCTTTTGTCGAGATATCAAACTTTCCAAAAATAATCGTTTTCCGCTTGCATGTAACAAAATTTGAGCTTACTTGAACATTTAATATCTTGAGAAAAAGATATTCTTGTCAGTTGAGATTGAGACTTTCAGGTTGTTCTATAGATTATTAGGCCTATCTATGGGCGAAATTTTTGCGCCGAAATTCTGTTTTTGGTTTTTTCGATGCAATATCTTAAGTTGGAGACGAGTGTTTTAGAGTTTTCGCATGTCTCAACAATATAATCTTATAGACATGTTAAGAGTTTAAACTGTAGATTTCAGATCAGGTGATTCTCTTTTAAGCAGAGTGAACATATAAATAATACTAAGTCATTGAAAACAACACAGAGGCTAACTATAAACTTTTGTTTAATTTTAAAGTTGATTGAGTATGTCGAAGTTTTATAGAAGATCAGTTTGTATAAATAGATCATTTAAACTTCTAATGCACTTTATATTCGCATTAAAAATATCATATTTTAGATATTTGATATGCATGATGTTGTTGACTTAAAAGAACCAGTCCAAAAAGCAAATAATAGCTTCTATCTATTCTCTGTTATTCTTTTAATATCATGTGTAATGTTTATGGCTGGTTTTATATATGGTTCGCATATACAATATAGTCGTGCCATGAACGATTATGAACCAATAACAATTAATTATAAGTGACAATTTAAAATTTAAATAATTAAGAAACAATTTTTTTTCACTTTCAATTTCGGTAAATCTCCTTCTTTTTTTATGTCTACATGTAAAAATATTTTAATCATGAAGAAGAAATGCTGATAAAAATAAATCAAATTTATTTTCAATATATTTTCATATTCATTAAATTTTTCTTTTTCTTTAATTTCATTCTTTGATCATGCGTATCATCAGTTTTTATTTCTATGTTTATATTCGTTTGCATGCTACTAACATTTACTTAATTGAATATATATTCAGCAATAAATAAACAACATGACTTACAATAAACTTTGTATTTCTTTTTGAACATCTTCTAAATCACTTTGACTTCGAAGGTCAATTCAATGAAAACAAAAGAATCAATTGGGATAGATTTATTTTTAAGAATATGATTTGACCTTCGTCCTCCAGAAGCATGTAAAGCGTTAAGGACTTGCCTTGCCCATTATAGCGGCTTGTATATTGTAGATGGTCATTGTCAACACCATAAATATTATCAAACAAGCCATTTTGATGATTGAATTCATTATTAGTTCTTGTTTTTCGACGCTTGAGAAGGAAGTAATAGATGTATTGAAACAACAGTTCGAATGATATAGCCGTACAGTTGTGCTTCACCTTTATATATCGGTTGACAATCTAGCAAGGAGTAATTTTCAAAAAAAATATTTTCTTGCCATAAATAGAGAAAGATTTTTTTCTTGTAGGCAGATGTGCATACCGCTAGTAGTAGTATAGAGCAAAACGATGGATATATTTTCATAGTGGCGTCTTTCTATTCACTTTGAAATTTGAGCCCTATCTGTATTGTGATAGCCTATTTCGTCTTTTGATCTCATGTGATTTTCAACGATTATGCATTTATCACATTTATTTAGCTACAAGGCATTTTTTATCCAATTCAAATCGAGAAGGACGTCTTTCACTCATTGCTTCAAAGAGGAGAGAGAGGAAAACGTATTGACGGGGTAACTTTTATCTAAAATATAAATAATAACAATCAAGCGAAAATTATATCATGAGAGATATGTAATGAATGACGACAGTTAATACAGCACGCTATAAAAATACAAGGTAACCGGTGTGTGATGAAAAGAAAAAAGAAAAAAATCACTGACTTGTTTGCTTTTCTTGTTCTGGAACATACAGCAAATATTTATCTAATCAATACATTTGTGACGATAATTGATGAAAGGAATACTAGTGTGAGTTGAGATACACTGTATTCCATTCCTCCACATCATACAATCGTGTCGTTTATCAACAAGGCCACACGCTTATATACGCAAGTAGAATAGAGAGGATGAAAAGAAAGAAGATGATCAGCCAAGGAGAGAGTAGATATAGAAGAACAATAGAGTAAGGATATCAGTGTAAGAATAGAAAAGTAAGGACGATATATGTAATATTTAGAGTGAATGATAGAGGAAGGTTGAATATCATATATGAAATCCAATCAACCAGGAGCGTTACAAAATTGTCTACCAATTTTTTAGGGATGCCTAAATGAATTCACTTTCGATTTTCCAATTAGAAATTTGTGGATGAGTTCGTGTGAGCATTTCTATAATATTCTTTTATATTCTCTATAGCTTATTTTCTATTTTACAGTGTAGAAACTCTGCTGTTTAACTTATAGTTGGTCATAAAATTCTTATTCATATTTTTATAAATACGACGATTCATGTCGCCATTACATTAGGTGGGAAAACCCCAACGAATACCTTAATATGTACGATGATCGCTGTTTAATTATATTTTTGGTCACAAAATTCGTATATTCTCTTCATGAGGACGATGATTGCTGCTGCAATCATATTGGGTCACAAAATTTCGATTAAGATTTTTATAAACACGATGATTCATGTTGCAATTATGTTGGGTCGAAAAAATCCCGACTTATACCTTTATTAGCAGGATAGCTGCTGTTTAAACTTGGTGTAATATGAAGCTTAGCATCTAAATATGTCCAAAACATATTATCGAATAAAACATATGAAAAAAGAAAACTTCTCAACAACTTCAGACTGATTATTTACAATACAGATATCATATCAAACACAAACAAACATGCAACTTAGAAGAACACAGTGAAAATTATTGACAATCATTAATAATAAAACCAATGCATTTGAATGTCAACCAGTGATGGAATCGGTTCGGTTTGAAACTTTTTCGGTTCGATTCGGTTCGGTTACGAAGTATTCGGAACCGATTTCCATTCAAATATATATTTAAATATATTTAACTTTGTTAGAATGCTCTAAAATACATCTTTATTTCTTATTCTTTTCTCTTCTACTTTCCTATTCGGCCGTGACAATTTGAATAAATTATCACTCTTTTCTTCTGTTCTAAATGTAAGGGTATTCCAATAAAAGAACACATTGGACGTCATCTTCTTTATATAAAATGGTCTAGGCTGGAGTAGAGGATATTTATTCATCTCTCTCTTATATATGAAAATACATGTATATGTCGCAGGAGAAATTAAAATCCAGGAAAATTTAAAATTTTCCTAGGAAAAATTAAAATGTTCTTGTTAAAATTTTAATTTTTCCTGACTTTTTTAGGAAAATTTTAAATTTTCCTGGATTTTAATTTCTCCTGCGACATATATGTAAAAGAAAAAAGAAAAGAAAAGATAATAATTTGAATAAAATTGAATTTCGGCTGAATTGAACCGAAGATTTTACAAACATCAAGTTTCATTACAGAGAAAGGGACCTGTAACAAATATATACACTAAGAATGGATAAAGAAAGTGTAGCAAATTTCTTATTTTTACTCGACTACTCATTAGTTTCAGTTAGTGCGTCCTTTTACGGACTACATTTCCGTATGAAGTACTCGTATAGATATATATAAGTATCAGTTAATTATCGTGTTGTAATAATTCTTAGTTGATAACGATAACATTACTTTCTTTTTAAGGTTCAAAGAATATATAACCATGAACATTTAAGTTAAGAAAATATCACCTGAATGATATTTCGAAATAGATCGATAAGCAAAGCCTAAAAATGTCATTGGAATTGTCCATTTTCAAATGATGGGTGGATTATTTCTTTCAATTTTAGGTTCTCTTTGTCATGTAAGTCTTGTAAGTTGAGAGTAAAACTGGATTTAATAAGGTGGTAAATAATTATTATAAAGTATTACTTAATAGTGTTCTATTAAAACGGGTGTATCATATAAAATGTAGTTCCTATATATCTGCATTGAGCGACGACAAAATATACCTTGAGCGGCTTTTGATTAGCGGGATAAATTGACTAACTTCTGAAAATAAACTAGTCTTCTATCATCCGAAATTTCTTTTATTCTGAAAACGAAAATACCCATATTCTTAACATTATTTCTACTACAAATTTCTAGTTCGTTTTTAAAATTATTAATGACGTTTTAAGCATGTCTTCAATAAAGGTTTTTAGAGGAATATTCTTAGAAAAAAATAAAAACTTTTAAACCTTTATCTTAAGTTTCGAATTCGATTCGGTTCGGCTCCAAAAAAACACGAACCGATCCCATCACTGATGTGAACTATTAAAGCAACATTGTAATATATTGATACAAAAGTTATAGCAACTCACAAAGATAAAATATACCGTCTATCAAATGGTAATGTTAAATTTGAACAAGTTGATGTTGAGTAAAGGTGCACAATGTCTCATTTCGTGCATGGTCTGCTGAAAAGAATCTATTCTATGAAAACTTTGACAATTCTGTATTGAAACAAAAAAAATAAAAGATTCTATCCAGTTTAAAATAGATATTGCAATCATGGACTTTGACAACCTAATCCAAAGTAGTGGCAGTAACACTTCAGAATTGACTCTAAAAATACAGGTTTCAGATGAATTCCGATCACATCCTGTATATTTCGAAATCATTGCTGTGTTACATGAGCTCTGGCCACAGCTTTGGATAGAACAAATACAGCTGAGTAAGACTAATAATTACTTTTCCTTCAGTTTCGAAATTGAGTTTCAACAAAAATTAAGTTGAAAAATTTGTTTCAAATTTATAACTATTTGCTAAACTTTCATGTAGAATGATACTGAACAGTGTAAAAGTTTTGTCATCATTCAATCAACATTGCAAATTAATCCATGCATGTAAACCTATACTGTTCTTTTTACATCATCATAAATAACCTGAACAAACCATTATTTGAGTTTATTATTGCGAGGCTTCATCTAATTCTTGTGTGGTATGTTAAACAGCAATGATAAAATTATATCGAGACTGATTCGATGATATGATGTTTGTATTAAGTTGTTGAAGAAAGGTACACTTTTTGGTATGCTTGATTTGTGGCTGTTTTTCCATGAATGAGTACTAACGACGATAGAAATCGTTCTTTTATTTTCTAGATACCTTGCAAAATTTTTTTCAGACTCAATGATATTGCTCATTATCTAAATTATTATTTTATTTATTAATTAACTACTCTAACTGAAAAGATATGTCGTGGTACTTTCAAGCATAGTAAATACAATTATTGTGTCTACATGCCCTTGTTTTATCAATACCTACTTTCGATGTAGTTTGTGTTGATAAATCCTTGTGTAAGAATCCTATTTATGAAATACAACGTTACATATAATAATAGAAAGCATAAGCAAGGTGTTGGATAGGATGTAATCACTGCACATCGCATGTTGACGATAAGAGCGAAAAAAATTAAAAATAACATATTTCGGGTTTCTACTAATATCTGTACGAGAGTATAAAACAGAAAACTTAAAATACAAAAGAAGCAAATAGATGCTTGTTTAACGTAGGACAATACTGCCATCTATAGATCAGTAAAGACAACCATGACTAATACTCCAATGAATACCCTTATTTGATCAACAGTATAATTAAAAAAAAAAGATATATATATTTATTTGTAGTTTTATTTGTCTATTGACGATTATGATGAGTATTCATGTTATCAAATTACTCTGATTTTTAGATTATGTTTCGTTAAGTTACTAAATAAAGTATGTTATTCTTTTCAATTAGCCTTTTGTTAAAAAACTTTTTATTTATTCAGATCATGAAACAAACATTTGTCCATGATATTAGTCAACAATTACAATCGGCCGTATTCTCATCAGGCCTTACAACTAAATTAATATGTTTATTTTGTATTATTGGATATGGTCTTTCATTTAGTTCTCAATGTGTTCACGTACTTGCAGTCATTCCAGGTCGTGTAATGCCTCCGAATTTTTGGATTTGGTTTGTTTTTATTTATTTATTTATTTATTGTTTTCTGTCGAACTCTTTATTTCATTTTTTTTTTGTCATAGGACATTTGTTACACATAGTTTTATTGAATTACATATATGGCATACAATAATTGATGTTATTGTTGTTTTTCTTTATTCGAAAATGATCGAACCATTATGGGGTACAAAAGAACTATTAAAATTTTATTTTATTGTTACAATTCCAAATGCATTAGTTGCAACATTTACATATTTTCTATTTTATGGTTTAACATTTAATGAAGATTATCTATTTGAAAGACCTATTTATGGTTTAGCATCATTTATTGGTGCTTACTCAGTTGTTATTAAACAAATTATGCCTGATACGATTATAGCAACAACACCATTATGTAAACTTAAACAAGATCATGTACCATTATTAATTGTTATTTTATCAACAATACTTTGGATTGTACATGCTGTACCTATACATTTTTTAATTATGCTTAGTTTTGGTATTATTATTAGTTGGACATATTTAAGATTTTTTCAAATACATCAAAATGGAACTACAGGTGATATGTCAACATCCTTTTCATTTGCAAGGTAAATGAAATTTTTCGGCATTTTTTTTTTCTCTTATGATTTTAATTAAATGTCATTTTTAGTTTTTTTCCTCCACCTATATCACCAATAATAAGTATATTTGCCAATACAATTTTTGCAATATTTGTTAAAATAAAATTATGTAAACCATTTGTTAAAAAATATAATGTTGCTTCACCATCAAACATTACAATAACTATTCCAGGTGCTGAAGCAGCTGATGCTGATAGAAGAAGGTTTGTTATTCATTTTTTTTTTCTCAAATCAGTTCCATTTAAATATGGATCAAGACTAAATTCAAATATTCATTTGAATTAAGAAATGTTAATTTTCGAATTGAAATCTTGTACTTCTTAATGCTTTATCTCCATTATACTCATCTAGTGAAGACATTTCATGGCGATGATACAGTATGATTCATTCATCATGAATCATATAAAAATTGAATTTATTTTTTAATTGATTAGTTTCGATTTAAAATCATCCAGAAGGAAGCCTATAACGAAAGTTGCAAGCTTCTATCGTTTATAATAAAAAAAAAGTGATTTAAAAACGACTGTAGCATGCTTTTTGACTAACTATTAGTTCTAGTCAAGCTATTAGAAGAAAAACATCGTTTTAAGATTCATAATGCATCGTCAAATTTTGGCGATGAACTACTTCAATTAAAGAAATCTATTCGTGTAAATGTTCATCTTGAAAAAATTGAATTCGAAGAAAATAGACACAATGTTTTGCTTTGAAAAGTTATAAAGACAGTTGTTCTAGAAGTTTCATTAGGTTCTACTTAATGAAATTAGACATGTCTTAGAAGCATTTTATCACTTATCGATAAACAATGACACAGCGACAACTGTACGACAGTAAACAGACTTTGTACATGTACCGTAATCATACTACGGCATGACTGTATTTTTGCATCTTGCATTACAATGCTATATGACCCATTTAATAATCATATTTTTATTGTAATATAGACATCTTCTTTTTTTGTCTATTAACAATGAAAATTCATCAGAAGAAAAATTTCTGATCAATATCGTAAAGCACATAATCAAAATTATCATTTTATTTCAGACAAAAAGCATTAAAAGCTTTAAATGATCGTATGAAATTGAAAGATTCAGCATCAGAAGCATGGCCTGAACTAGATGAAATTCAAAGTCCATTATTACCTTCAACACATCAATTGGAATCTTCATCCATAGTAATTGATATGGATAATTCAAATAAAACAAAAGAAGATTTACATCAACAACAATCATCATCATCATCATAAACGATGAGTTATGTCTTTACTTTTCATTCTTTAACCGCTTTGTATAATAAAAAGATATCTTCAAACAAGATTTTTTCATTCTCTTTTTTTTTTTTAATTTACTATAAACATGATAATACCTTGAAACTGAAGGACGATCTTATGTCTTTTAAAATTACACATCGAACAGGGATTTATCATCTTAATGATAAAAATCTTTTTTTTTTTCTTCTAATTTTAGATATAATATAAAATGTTTTAAATAAATTATTAAATAATCTTCAAATTCCATCAGTTGTATGAAAATTTTTATTATAAAGACAGTAAAAGTAAATATTGACTGATGAATTTATGAGTGATCGTAAATGTTTTATAATCAGACAAATCATGAACTATTATTCATTCAGAATACAACAGTATCATATATTTTACTATATTAACCATCTATCTATAAGATTAATTTACTAAACATTGATGTCATCATTTTTAGTCAGTCTGCAAGTAATAAACTTATCGATTCTTGACCTCCAAATTACCATCTGTCGGAATTATGTATATGACAGTTTCAATCTTATAAATAATAAATTGATTCTTCTTTTTCCACAATAGACTAAAATCTTTAAATTTAAATTTTTTGTTTTTTTACTCTAACAGTGAACTTGAATTTTATAGTATGATGGTGAGATCGAGCTATGTCATAAATTTAACTTAGTGACAACATCCATACTCATCTAAATTGTTAACAACGGAAAAAAGGTCAAGTGATGAGTATATATAAGTAAACGAATTATCTGCTGTTATAATTGATATATTTTGCAAAAAATCGTATGTTTATAGAGTTATTGTACATGTACATTTTTTTTTTCTATCAGTCTTAAAACTCATCATTATATTTATTTTAAATTGTAATATAGAAATATAGCAACACAATGACCGTGAGCTAGATCAAATATTTGGTAATCCGATCTTACACTTGATTTAACAATGACGTATATACAAAATATATTTCATTCCAAGGATTTCTTCAGAAATATTTCCGTGAGACAAAAAAAAATTTCTCTTTTTTTTTTTTTTTTTTCTATTTTTAGAGCAAGAAGAAATAAAATTAAAATCCTCTTGTTATAATCTACTTTTCAAAATTAAAATTTCAAAAAAAAAATTTGTTTAATTATTTATTCAATAATTCTTTCTATGATAAGAAAGCTATTTTATCAATAGTAATACTTAATAAAACAAAAAAGTTATTCTATATAATCTATTAAAATCTAAGAATAGGAACATATATATATATATATATAACATAGGAAAAAAAGAACTTTTTTATCCTTGAAAAAAAATCGCGCAATTCGTCAATCTAATTAACTCGTTCTATAACATAGCATCACGTCGTTCTTTCTTTCTTTCTCTCTTCTTTTTTTTTTTGCTTTTTTTTGGATTGTATATATGGCATCATATGTATACTTGACGAGAACATAAGCAGTAGTAACCCTATCATCATCATCAACATCATCCTGAAACCATTTCTGTCTAGTCGTATATGTATATATGTATTGCATTCGCTTGGTTTTCTTTTATGCTGCTACTACTGCTTGTCGTCATCATTGTATAGTCGTGTTGAAGAGCGCACAAGAAAGAGAGAGAGAGAGAAAGAATAAAGAACAGCGTCATGGAGGCATCAGCTCGAGGGTTCTGTGCATGCTGATGGGGGCGATTTTTTTTCTTCTCTTCTTGCCTAATGCCCTTCTTTCCCTTTTCGCTGCCGCTTCATCTCTTCATATTGTAGCGGTGAACTGGCCAGACCCATTTCCAGCGATCGACCGTTTTTTTTTTTTTTTTTTTATTCTTCTCATTGGTCGGATGAGTTATTAATATAATCAAAGCAGCGTTTGCATGAGTGAGAGAGAAAAAGAGTAAGTAGTTCAGAGTTCATCAGACGCGAAGAAGAACAAGAAGAAAAAGAAGAAAAAAAAACTTGTGCATGGATGTTTTTTTTTTTTTTTGTGATGGTTTGAGAAAAAAAAAATTCGACAAAGAAAGAAGCAAGAGAAAAGAGATCAACCACCCACTATTCAGGTGGAAGAAACTGAGAGAGAGAGAGAGAGACAGCAGAGATTGTACACATACACACGTCACTCCCTCGTAATTTTCCGTTCTCTTCTCGTTTTCTTTTCTTTTTTTTCTCCTTCTTTCTCTCTTACACTAGTATAGTATAGAAGGGTCGAGTATGTAGGCGTTAATCATCACATTCACATTTCTCGCTTTCGTCGTCGACTGGACATTGCTACGCGGTAAGTCTACACGTTAGGTCGTTTTTCTCTCCTTCTTCTTCTCCGTTCATCATTTATTCATTTTCTTTTAACATGAACTTATCATATTCTTATGTTTTATTTTTTTTGTTCTAGTATAGATATATAGATATATTATATATATATATATATATAGAAATTATTTTTTTATTAATTAAAAAATAATGCCAAGTGCAGCAATAATTGATTCATTTGTAACTGATTATCAACGTTCATCATTACTTATTCCATCATTTAATAATGAATTTTCATTACAATTTCAACAACAACAACAACAACAGCAACAACAACAAATGGCCGATTCACTTGGTAAAAAAAGTCAAAATATGACCGAATGTGTACCGGTGCCAAGTTCGGAACATGTTGCAGAAATTGTTGGTAGACAAGGTTGTAAAATTAAAGCATTACGTGCTAAAACAAATACATATATTAAAACACCCGTACGTGGTGATGAACCTGTTTTTATCATAACTGGTCGTAAAGAAGACGTTCATATAGCTAAAAAAGAAATTCTATCAGCTGCTGAACATTTTTCACAAATACGAGCTGGTATATAAAATTTTTATTTTTAATAATTCTATATAATATATATTTTTTTTATTGTAGCTCGTAAACAACAAAGTAGTACGAGTAGTTCATCGAATAGTAGTACAAGTAGTGGAAGTAATACAAATTTACATATAAATAATTTAATATTACCAAGTCAACAAACAACAATACAAGTTCGTGTACCATATCGTGTTGTTGGTTTAGTTGTTGGACCTAAAGGTGCAACTATAAAACGTATACAACAAACAACAAATACATATATAATAACACCAGGTCGTGATAAAGAACCTGTTTTTGAAATAGCTGGTCTACCGGAAAATGTTGAAGCTGCACGTTTAGAAATTGAAAGTCATATTGCTGCACGTACAGGACAAACATCATCATCAGGTCATCAATCACCTGTTGAAGATAATAATGATGATATAAAATGGATGAAAACAAAATTTACTCATCATTTATCACTTCCATTTAATAATAATACAATTGATGATAATAATAAACATATTCCATTACGTACGGTATCTCAATCATCTTATTTTCCATTAGAAGATAATTCATTAATGAATCAATCATTTGATTTTGGTTCATCATTTGATTTAATTAATGAACAAACATCGGATAATAATAATAATAATAATAATAATAATAACAATAATAATACAATATTTGATTCAGTTTGGTCAAATTTTAGTCTTTTATCATTAAAAACATCATGAATATATACACACCCTCAGGTATGAATAATTCTTAGTGCGTGTGTGTGTGCGCGTGTGTGTTATTAATTTATTCTGTGTATTTTTTTACCTTTATTTGTTTTTTTTGTCATCGTGTACAGCTATCTTGATCAGGGACATTATATGTATTAACCCGGAAAAAAAAAAATTTTAAATAAAGTTTATTATTATTATTCTTCTACTACTTTATTATTATAAGATCTATCTCATTGTGAATGAGCATATGTTTTGTGTGTGACCCACTAGTTCTAAGTCATTTCTATGTGTTCCCTATTCAGGAAGTCAAACTGCTCAAACATTTTTTGTTTGTTTGTTTGTTTGTTTGTTTGTTTTGTTTGTTTTTTTTTTCTTTTTAGTTGTAGGTATCTATCTATCTATCTATAAGTGTATGTGAGCTTTGAGCCTAACTTATTTTTTTTCTTCTTTTCTTTTTTTTTTTTTTTTTTGTTTGTTTGTCAACACAAGTCTAGGCGCGTAGATTTTTCTTTTTCTATTCGGGTGTGTGATTAGTATAAAATACCTGTTTGTTTGTTTGTTTGTTTGTGTGTGTGTAGAAAAAGCAAAAGATGTGAAAATCGTACACACATATATATATATCATTTATTAGTTGCTATTATTATTATTATTTTTTTTGTATGCTCCGCATAGTCCAAGAGAAAAAAACAATTTTACAATTTATAAGAACCTCATCTCAGGTACAAAATAAACCTATGTATACGTGCGTGTAGGTTTTTCTTTTTTCTTTTTTTTTTTTATATTTTTTCTCTTGCTCGAATAAAAACGTGCAGGGACATATATGATGTCTGCCTATCTATTTAATGAATGTTTTTTTTTTTCTTTTTATACTTTGATTAATGATATGAAAAAGAAAAGATGTGTCATTATGTGAATAAGAGAAGAGCAAGAAAAAAAAAAACCCTTGAATGTCTATGTTTTTACAATAAAGGTTAATGTCCATTGTGTCCGTATGTTGTTTGATCTAGTGAACGTACGGTACCGTGTATGTACGTCGTATATTTGCGCGAGTTCACCGAACGGTCAAAGTCAATTTGATCGGTTTTTTTTTCTTTTTCTTCTTTTCTTCAGCTGCTTCATCATTGATAATTTTCTATTGATGATTACATGCTGATAATCGATTTTAAATTTTAAACTAGGGATTTTTTTTTTTACTAACCTAAAAATAAAGATAAAACGTCTCGATTGCATCATTATTTCTATATGATGCAATGATAGATGTATACATACATTCATATACAATCAACATCTGTTGTTCATAGATTACCAAAAGACTTTTATTCGTTATTCATCTGGCATTACAAATAAAAAGAAATATATAAAAGAAAACAATTGTCTATGATTTTTATTCATTCACAGCAAGAGTTTTTTGTTTTGGTTTTTTTTTGTTTAATCCATATCAAGATTTTTTGTCGCAAATATTTGTTTGATGATGAACATTTCTAATTATATCTTTGGATATGTATCAAAGTTTCATATTGAGTTTATTCTTTTGAACTTATTTACATTTAAATTTAACATCGACAAACATAATTATCTTGATCCAGTTTTCTTAAGATATAAAACACAAAAATAAGAAAGAATAAAAGCGCATCAATATTATGATCATAATCTTATATTTGTATTATTCTTATGTTCATTTCCTGTTTATTAAAATTGATATAGCTTTAAACAAAGAGAATACAACTATATGTCTACGTTTTTACAAGTGTGAAAAAAAAAGAAAAGATCGTCTATTTCCTTAATTGCAAATTTATTTTCTTTTTTGTTGCGACATTTTATAAGAGTGTAAAAACTACTCAGTTTTTTTTGCGTATGTCCAAATGTGAGAAAAAAAAAATGTTTGATTTTTATTTTTTGTTTATAGAAATAATTGATTAAACAATTACATATGAAATGTAAACGAAAAAGGAAAAAAACATTTTATTTTTTTCTAAATAATATGTGATCATTATATTGTGTGAAATCTATAGCCGGAAGGAAATTTAAATCATACTATTTTAAAATGATGTTATAAAGAAAAACGAAAGTATCATCAACTATGATAAGAATTTTTGTGAGTTTAACATAATTGAGATAATTTGAAGATAACACAGTTAAATGTATATGTGTTTTTTCTAAAGTGTTATAGAATAGATATAGCATGATACTTAATGGACATAAAAAAAAGAAACTAGTGATCAATGAGATATTATTTGCCTCAAGCTAATTCATTTAACAATAACAAGAAGAAAAGTTTCATCTTTTTTAAATACATTTCGTAGTTTTTTTTTTTCAATATAATACTTCAATTAATCAATGCTTCAAGCGTTTACATTTTGAAAAGAACTAAATACTTTGAATTAAAATGTATTAGTTTAATGTATTTTCACATCATTAAAAAGAAAACAATAATACAAAAAAAAAAAAACAGATTGATTTTAAACCACTTGTAAAAAACTTTTAGTTCAAGATATTATTCTAAATCTTTGTAGAATGAAGAAAAAAAAGTCTTTAAAATTGCTTGTTACAATCAATCAATTATATATAGAAGGGGGTAACCTTCCCAATCTTGAAAGTTTTTCCCACTCTTCAATGAAACTGAATGAGTTTTGTTTTCAACAATCTTTGCAACTAAGGTTTAAACATAAGTATGATTCGTTTTATTCTTGTTTTTTAGATAAGTATGAGTTCAATATGTTCATCATGTAAACAAATAATAATAAATAATTCTCTAAAAAAATATTGTGGTTCATGTCAACAATTATATTGTTCAAATTGTGTATATCAACGTATAGCTATACCAAAATTAAATTATCAAATGCATGAAGTTTGTATAAAATGTTTTCATTCTATAAGTACAGAACTAATGTTACAAAAACCACCAAAAAATTTTCTACAACGATTAGAACAACAACCATCATTATTAAAACAAATGCAAATGCCTATAAATCAACTTGATCCAGAAACAAAAGCACTTGAAGAACGTCTTGAAAAATTACGTATGGATTTTCCAGCAACATCAAACAATATAAAAAATAAAATTTCAACTAATCCAGATGATCTTATACAACAAATGCATGATGAATTATCTATTCAACAACGAGAAGATCATTCTCTTGCTGATCGTTTACGTATTTTACATGAAACAATGCCAGCTGCAACACCCGATACAGTTGTATTACCATCAAAAACTAAATTTGAAGAAAAATCTAATGATAATGATAATGATGATGATGAATTTCCATGGTGTACTGTATGTAATGATAATGCAACAAAACGTTGTCTTGAATGTGATGAATTATTTTGTGAATCATGTGTTAAAAAAATTCATCGTCAATCAGGTTATAAAAAACATCAATTAGAATCTTATAAACCATCAGCAAAAGCAAAGAAAAAATATAACTATTAGATTGATTGGTGGTACCATATGGATTTGTTAATTTTTTTTCTTCTCTTTTTTTTTTCTTTTATTCTTAAAGGCAAAAGAAAACAGCTGGAGAAGTACTCAATTATGAAAAGAAGAAAAACAGCTGGTTCGATGTGATTTCCTTTTATTGTCTTGTCTTGATTTTAATATTTACATAAAATTAACATTTTTCATAAAAAAAAAGAAAAAAAATACTTGATCGACAATATATCAAAGATTTATAATAATCATCAATCACCTATTCGCATTTATTTATTTAGCTTAAGGCAATCAATATATATATATATGAAAAGAAAAATCTATATTATTGATGTGTTCATATGCACATATCAAGTATGGTTTATCTATCGAAATTTTTGACTTTTATTTATTCGTATTATAATTAAGAAAGTTTATACACGCGAGAGGCCTGTCAATCTCTTGAATGAACTTATTATCATTAGTATATATGCATGAACACAAATGAATCTTATTCATTCGTTTTTTTTTCTTTGTATATAGTTGAGTGATGATAGACTAACAGCTGTTAGGTTGAAATTGGACACGCCCTTTTCCTTCTTTTTTTTTTTCTCTTCCATCATGCATGACATTTATCTAATTAAAAAAAATCTTAATATTAAATATTCAATTGAACACACACACAAAATTTTTTTTTTTTTTTCTAAATAATACTGGATGATGTGTCACGAAGCTCATAAAACTGGATTTAATCAAATATGACAAATTCATTTGTTCAAATTAAACAAACTGAACATACTTTTACTTGTTTAACATAAATGTCCTTTTATAATAATAATTGTATTTTTTTTTTGTGTGTGTGTTTAAAATCGAGAATAGAGAAGCGCAAAGAATATTGCTTAGACTTAAAGAGAGAGGCAAGACCTTGACCTAAACAAAGATATGAAAAATGAATAGATAAAATTTGAACTTATAAATAGTACTCTTTTTGACGACACGAACATTTTACGATAACGATCAATGTCAATTATGTGAACAAAATATTGAAATACATATGTTTTACGACTTGGCTTTTTTTTTAATCAGATTTTTTTACTATAAATAAATTTTCTTCTTATGTTCATTGTATTCGAAGAGAATTATATAATAATCGGTTCATTGAATTGTTATTAAAATGTGGAAAGGTATAGAAGAATAGTCTGTGTTCTTTGAATGACAACATGATTTTTCGCTTAACAACTCGATTCTTTCCAACGATGATGAGAAAAATCTCATAGGTGGTTTACAATTAATTGTAATAGAATATTGTCAAGTAAATCCACTATATTCATGTCATAGAAAATAAAACTACTTATTTAATGAAATTCAACAAATCAGAAATATATGGAGAAGTTGGTGATTATTCTCCTTTTTGATTGCGTAATTCAGAATTCTCTGTAGGCCTTCATTCTGTATATTTAATCTTGTGTTTTGCTTGAAAGTGTATGTCAAGATGTAGGACATGACAGAGATTCTTTTTTCTTTTTGAATTTAGCTTTGTTACTGTTATATAGAAAAGTACTTTTATAATTAAAGGGTTACTTTTCGAGAGTTTTTCAAGATATTAAACTTTTATTCACTTAAAAAAATAAGAATCTAAAAGGAAAAAACTTTGTTATGCTCTGCATTCTGACGTAATCTTTTAAATAAAAAAAAAAAATTAAGTATGTATTATGAAGACCGACAGAGAATATTTTCATTGTCGAATGAGCTACTTTTGACTTGTGTTTGTTAAATAACTCATGAGACTTTTTGATGACTATTGTCATCTTCTTTTTACTCATAGGCACTCTTTCAGTGTAAAAAATGGAAATTGTTGTTTGCTTTTTTTTTTATTCATGCTTCTTTGATCGAACATTGTAAAATTCTCAAAGGAGCTTCATTGTAACCAATTTGTTTTTTTTTTATTTCCTTAAAGAAGTTTATGAGAAATCTCCATGCTGAATAGAGACCGTTTTGTTTTTTTTTTTCAATCAAGTTTTGCTATTGTTATATTAACAATGTACTAAGTCGTATAGAGAATTTTACGTTGATAAATGACCGTTTTTTAATCGTTATTTGATGAATATATTTGAAAAATGTTAGCATAGCTTCTCCACTACAACCTCAACGTATCCTGAAAAAGGACCTGTTGGAATCAGCTTCCTCGAGAAATTTGATTTCTTCTATTTCAAACCATCACACAATATGTCTATTTGATGAAATTTATTTTTCAACTCCATCTTGAGGGAAACAGATGTGAATTCTTTGACGAAAAACTTGTTTTTCTATAAAATCATATGTGATTTTCTTTTAAAAGATTTAGTACGACGAATAATTTCTTGTTGATTTATATCCAGTTCTATTTTATTAGATGGTAAATGATAATTAGATAATGATAGCATATTTTTATGTTGCAGATTTTTTTCATCATGTATTGATTTCCATGTTTTTATTCCAAGTCCAAATCCATAAGAAATTGAACGTAGAGATAATTGAGAACGATTAATTTCATGTGTTATATCTACAAATGAATATTGTTGACGTTTATAAGCCAAAGTATTCTTTAATGATGATAAAGAATGTTGATTCGTACGAAATGAATTTTGTATATGTGAGTTAAGAGAAGGCAATTGTTGTTCATCGATACTAGGACGCCATTTTGGTGAAGATAAAACAAAAGAATTATCTTCGACAAATGAATTTCGTTTGTCTGATCGATTAATTGATATTGTTCTAGTTAGTTTATTTGGTGGCATCACTGTACAAAATAAAAGATTGATAACATGTACCATCAATTTGAGTTCTTGTTTTGTTCATGAAGGGGGAATCGTAGTTTTGATGAAATTTATGCTTTTCTTCTCAAATTATGTTCATTTCAATGAATATTTAGCTTAGTATAGAATATTACAGAAAGAATTGCAATAATTATATTCCATTGAAAAATCTTACCATATTAAGACCGCGAACTTTATTTCTTTTTTTTTTCTAAGGAAAACTCTTCATGCAAGACAACAGAACAGTATAACCAAAAATACTAATTTTACACACCTCGGTGAAATTGATCAGCGGGCATTTCACTCATAAAAACTTATTTTAATCAATGATAGTCTTCAAGAGGTTGAAGTACTTGCAAACACATCTTTGTCTTTCGGTTCAATAATGAGTTTGACGGGTCTTTCATGCCTTTTTTTCTCAACGTTAGAATTGTCCGATCTTATTCAACCTTGTGCTGACTATGATAATACACTTTTTAGAACGTTCTGATAGATGGTTGTAATGATTTTAAGTATAAACCATCAAAAGTTGATCCAATTTCGATATCTAGTATCATACGATCTGTTATTGGACAACATTTTATCTAAACTATGATTCTTCCTTCATGAACCAAACAGGAACTTAAAGAGAGGATTTTGATAAAAATGCCTATAAAAAGGATGACTTTGTTTTTTAAAGGCTAGAACAATAACGAAATAGTATTTGTTACTTGTATTATATTTTTGTGCAAGTAATTTGTTCTGTTCTCTTTTAGTTAGATCTTCTACTTCAGAAAAATTCATTACTATTCCATATTGAACCATCAAAGGAATTATCATTGTATGATCTATATCAGCATATGTGTTTGGATATTGAAGAATAGACGCAACTCGAATAGATATTGACTTTGTCATTTCTCGACTTGGTAACCAACGAAGAGGAAAAGCATCAATTTTATAAATACGTTCACTTTCTTTGATTCTATACTCGTTTGTAAGTTCATGTTCATATCGTTGAAAGACGTTTGAATTAAGATCAAATTGTAAAAGTTTATGTTCAAGATACGACTTATTGTTAACAATATATTGTACAAGATATCGCCAACCTTGACGTGAGTGTGATAAAGAATCTGGAGAAGAAATCTTAGTAGAATTTACATCTTCGAGAAGATTGTTCTAGATGTATATTCAATAAAAATATTCATCTATATTGAAAGCATATAATAAAATAATAATTACCTTCGAATTTTCAGCTAGAAAATGTGTCCTAGACATAAAATATAAATAACAAAAAGCGCATAATATTTCCATAGTTAAATTTAGTATATCTACTATATTTGAATTAGAGAAGTAAATAAGTTGTAGATTTTGACTTTAATAGAGATAATTATACATTCATATGGATATAATTTTTTCTACTAAATCAAGTGTTAATATCATGATAGAAAAATAAATTCGATAAAAATTAGTTAACCTTCTCAATAGCATATTTTTTTGATGAATATTAATTTGGATTCGTAAATTTTTAACTATAATCAACTAAAAGTATAGTATTAATCATCAATACTTCAAAGAAAAATTGTCGATTGTGTTTTAGTCTCACAAATTTTATAAAAAAAAACATCGAGATCTTTGAATCTTAGATGAAACGTCATCACAGTTGACTAGTGCCGTGACACAAATCACAGTCAAACGATCATATAGTAAGTATAAGTGGTGTAATCAGTTAAGGACCACGAACAACTTAGTCTTTCTACAAATCATAGAATACCTCTTAAAAAGAAGGTTTGAGCTCATCCCTCCATTTAACTGCATGACTAGAAGAACTTCCGCTTCCTTCACAGAAAAGGTTATGAGGCTGCCTCCTTCTACAACTTGTTGCTAATCAATGAAAAGTTTTGAAAGAATCCAAGAAATGACCTTAATCGTGAGATTCTCCGTTTCTCTATGATATTTACATAAAATGATTTTGAAAATGATTTGACCAGGTTTATTTTCAATTTTTTGTTCGCTATCATGCTCTAAGCTTCCATAGTTACTTTGACAAAGAAAACATCATGATGACCACTGTTTTTGTCCAAAAAATACCAGAAACGGATAAATCATTAAAACTAATTTGCCCTCTGAATTTTTTTGAGCATTCAATAAAATAAATAAATAAATAAGCAGAAATGTGCAAAAATACATACTCCACTTTTTTCATCTATTATCAGTAAAATCCAAAGGGTCGACAGCTTCACGATCTTATCTAATGATAACTTTTCCAAATATGATTTAAAAAAAAAACTTTTGTTCATTCGTCAAATTTGTACTAAACCAAGTCCTTATTTAAGTGCTTCAGTCATTTTTGAATTGCTAATAACTTGATGCTTTAATTTTCCATAACTTTTGAATTACTATTAGAGAATTAGTAATTATTTTAGTTACAACGGGAAGGATACATGTCGTTGAGAATTAAGTATACTAAGAACAGTTTCTTTTATTTGAATCACTTGTTAATGAAGTGAGATATATTTCATGAAGAACAGTATCCTTGTTCGATTGTTGCTTTCATGTCAATAAGGGTGTGGGCGTGAAGTGTGGGTGTGGGGTAGGTGTGCCTTAAGAAACACTTGACACCCAGATCCACACTCACCCACATCCACACCCACACCCGCACCCGCACCCACACTCACCCACACCTACAACCACATCCACAAAAGATACAACGGGCTAAATAAAGCCACAAGATGTTTTTCGATGTGCTTTTAATAATACAAAAAAAGGGTAATTAAAGAAAAAAAACTGATTAATGCAAATAATAATTTTTTTAAGAAAAAAATTTCAAAGTATACATTGATATTTGCAATAAATGAATTGAATTTTTTTGTTATTAAAAACGAATGCTTTGATGATGAAAAGACTTTTTGATTTCGATTCATTATCATATCTGAGCACTTCATTATCTAAAAATTTTATTTTAAAGAGCCTTGGCATTAAGAAATGAAAATAAAAAAAGACATGTTATATCAAATCTTAATAATATAGAATACACGTATAGATACGTTTGATTAATCTCATCGTAACTAACCAAAATCTTTGAAAATAAAATGTGAAAACGAAACAATTATTTTACATTTAAAATAAAGTTCGAATGAAAATACTAGTATCTAGCAAGAGAGAAGTTAGTTTAAACTCAAAGGTGTGAATAATCCATTAGGGAAAGTAGTGTGGATAAATAACAGTCTTGTTGAATATATGTTTAGTTATACAGCTACTCGGCTATTACTTCGTTAAAAAAGTATCAGTAAACCCGTATTTCAAACGAACATGAGTAAAAACAAATACGTTGTTTACTAATATGTGATGATGAATACTAATAAATAGAAAACATAATGTAATATTAAAAAAACAATTTTTCAATTCAATAAAATTATATCAATTTATTGCACAACTTAAATGATAGACAGCATTTGTTATTTCTATTATTAATTGGTAGAGTTAACTCCTGTATAAAAAAATAAAATTCAATATAGATACGACTGGTTTTTAATTCAAAATACATTGTTTGGTCAAGAACAATTTATTATGCGCTCCTCTTCATTACCCATTTTCTATTTCCACATGGTGCGTAACGAAAGAAAAACAAGCAGCGATATTTCTTTGCAGCGTGGGTATTTTATAACATCATCAACCAATTTTCGCGTTGCTACTCGTGTAATGCATCAATGATCACTGTAATATTTAATAAAATGAAAGCCTTTTCCTCGTGCTCATATCTCGCACACCTTATGTTTCATCACCATTCCGATAGAGGAGCAATGCTTATTACAATCCATTTTTATTCGTATGCAGATTTAATCATTCGTTAGAGAAATATAAACCTCTGTCATGATTGTTTTTCGAAGCGTAATATATATACGGTAAGCTATTACATGAATAAGCAACTGAAGAACATGAAGAAAAACAAACATTTTTGAACCATTTCACAACTGCTATTATTAATGAAAAGAGACATCTTGGACACCTTCCGTTGTTAATAATACTTCGCCTTGAGTTCGGTTGAAACTCCACGTTTTACTTTCGTAGACTTAACCATTTCGTGTAAGAAGGGTTACTTGTTCGTTGCGGAACGCTGTTTTTCTCTTAACTGAAAGTAAATTTAAATTATGATAATTTATTTTTATTATTAACTTTATTTTTAAATTTAAATCATTGATAATTTAATTAAAGCATAAAATAAATTGAAAATGAATAGATATTGACAATTCTATGTATGTGAAAGTTTCTTCCTGAAAAATTGAAAAACAAAGAATTTTTTTCCAATATTCTTAAAGAAAACTATATGTTTATTGGTTGAAATCTATTCTTTAGGTGATTTCAATCAAAAGCAATTGCTTGACATTTCGAAACATAGATATACGTTTGATTTATGTTAAAAGAAACGATTGAAAATCAATTTCTGGTTTAATACGACTGGCATTAATTTCAATTATTGCTAGTGCTAAAAATGATTTTGTTTATTTTAGTCAACTAAAATTAAGTTTCGGCGATTCCAATTGTTGAAAAGTGACTGAAAACAAATGAAATTTTACCGAGCTAAAGCAATGAAAATGTATGAAGGTTTATTTGAATAAAATTTGACAAAATTTTTGGTACGAAGTCTCGTGAAAGTATAAAGTACTTCTTAGAAAAATCCAAAAACTATATTCAAGAAATTTCAATCTTTTATTTCTTTTCAGTTATAAAAATTTTGGGTAACTAAATTATTCGAATGGAACCTCGAAAAATACATATAATTAGATAAGTTCTAACAAAGTCAGTCATTGCCCTTGTGCTTATTATTAGAATTTAAACATGCACTGTGAAATCTTATCCCATCGAAAATTTGTCCATTCGGAAGTACTATCTCACCTATTTATGTCTACATCCACGCCAGAAAATCCCGTAGTTTCCAAAGATGTATTTTCTATTATTGATAATTATCCTGTTATGACAGGTACATAAGACGTACCATACAAAATTATGTTATATGTATTATCATATATGTTCTTGTAGTTCTAAAAAAGTTAGATTAAGGTTATTGTTCATAACAAGAAAAGTAACTGATAAAAATAGCTAAAATAATATCTAAAACTGGATCCAAGACATTCATGGAAAATATAGCTACCGACAAAAGTTTAGACGAATTTTTCTCTGAATTGTTTTATACATTTGTTTTTTCGATTTTTCTTTCAGATAAAGAGGTACTGATCAGATTCAAGCCATTATATAGATAATACGAAAGATCGGCTAGATGGAGCAGTATAAGAGGGAACTTCATTTATCTTCATAGATTTTTCATAATTAAAATGACTTTGTTTTTGCAAAAGAAAATAAGTTTTAGTATTTTTCCGTATTTCGCATTTCCTTAACAAAAGATTTGCACTAAAATGAAAAACTAAAAAGTTCAGTCGATGGAACATTTGAAAGCTCTTTCGTCTCTAAAAGAAGTGTCATTCTCAAAGTTAGTTTTCATCTCGAAAGTTGGATTAGTTCTTACAAATTCTTTCTTATCGCATATTATTATGTACCATCAGTAGGAGCATTCAAAATTGAACAAAATGGTGTATATGAAGTGTTAATATCACAGATTATTCACACCTATCTATTTGAAAATTGTTTTGAGAGAAACATCACTAACTTTTCTTTTTTAATTTTTTTCACTGGCAAAAACCAGTCGATTTTTTCCAAGGTTTTCTCGCTAAAGCCAGTTTGTTGAGGTGAAAAACAGCTCTGAAAACTGAAAAAGAAACTTTTTCTAGAAACTGATAGAGCGTGAAATTCTCTATTGACTATATAGTTTCTGGAGCTTTTCATTTTAGCGCAAATCTCTTGGTTTGGAAATCCAAAATACTGAAAACTACTAAAACTTATTTTCTCTTGAGAAGAACTATTTTAATTATGGAAAACCTATATCGATAGATAGAGCTCCCTCCAATAGTATGTCATGGAGTCCGTCTTTTACACTATCTGTATCTCCATTTGAATCAGATCAATACTTCTTCGTATAAGAGAAAAAAATTCGCTCAAACTTCTGTTGCTGACTATATACTAGATTGAACCCATGAAGAGAAATAAAGCTCTATCAAACAAAAACATCTAATGAAACTCTTATATTAGAAAGTTGCCCTTACAGTAATCAGATATCTGTCAACGTGTGTCCAGTCATAAAATAATTTAGTATCAACTCAAAGTTTATTGAGTTTTCTTCGTTGTGTCATTTTTCGAAACACACAAAGCATAGTATTTTTAGACATTAGAAAGGAGTGCAGGACAGAACATAATGCCAGAAACTGTCAAACTATAGTAAACGTGTCGCTACTGATCGCAAGATAGGTGTTAGGATAAGTAAACAGTTTTATATAATCGCTCCGATATAAAAGAATCAATATCGAATAAATATCAGAAATCAACACAGCTAACTACGTGATTCAATTGGTCAGAACGTATAGTATCGTTATGTTCTGCACTCGATTTATCCCGTATCATCTCAAAATTCATATTGTATTTTATTAACACAGATTTTTAAGTTTCAGATAACTAGTAAAACATATCATCCAACATCACTAACGATGAAACTGATGAATAATTGAGCGAATATCTACCTTACAGACGCCAAAGACGTCAAATGCAATCACTCGTTGATCAGTACGGAGTAGTTCGACCGCGCAAATCACCAATAAATCGCCTAAAAGATTCGGTAAAGAAATATTATCATAACTTGAGTATAGTGGACATTGTCAACACATTCCTCTATTCGATACCACTCATTCGGTGTCTCAAAGAGTACAAAATATGAAAGTATCTTTTAGGAGATGTTCTGGTAGGTATAACAGTGGCAATCATGCATATTCCTCAAGATGAGAAAAAAAAGATATGTTCTATCGGTACTTTTCTATTTTTCAAAGGCGTCCTCTCATTCTAATGAAAACTTACAAGACTCCTTACATAAGAAATTTACAGCATTTTAAAAAGGTGGCGACTGATTCTATTGAAAATAGGAGAGTTTCTATAAGTTTTTTTTCGTAGATCATTTTGGCATAAAAATTTTCGTTGGCAATATAATTTTTGTGAAATGCGACTCTAAATAACGATAATGAATCATAGTTGCAGAAGAAGCACACATTTTCATTCTTCATGTATTTTGACTGAACGAGTCCAGACTAAGAGTTTTACAATAGTTTCCAATTTATCATATAAAACAGCATAAAGAAACATCGAAAAGCAAATACTTCGGTAATGTCAACAATTGACTTCCTGGAGGCAATTTTGACTAATTTTCTCGACGTAAGAACAAGATCGCACATCGAGCCATTTGACTTTTTCCAATAAAAACTGCTCTATCCAAACTTTACATTATTTATCATCTTCATTTTGGAATGATTCATGTGAAAACAATGTTTGACTAACAAAACGTAATAGTATTGATTTTTCGCGTTTGTTTACCCATCGCTACAAACAGTTTATTAAACTGCATACAATGATTTAAGAATCAGTAGTCTATAGCCTTTCTCCGATAGACTTTTTTGTATCACCTTTCATCAGAATCCATGACTTAGTGATATCGGTGAAAGTCTAATAAGCATATCTAAACATATATATCCTTCATTCATTTCTCGAAATTTTACTACTGAAATCTTCAAAATCTTGAAAGCATAAAATTTAAGGATTAAATATTTTCGAGAGGTCTTATAAAAGTCCCCAACTGTTTAATAATATCGATTTTGAATATCCGAAACCGCTACTCATGCAAAATGCTGTTCATTGTGAAAGTTTTGCTTGCAAAAGTCGTTTCTAACCAAACCACAATGAGGATAGAGTGGTTGATGAAGGAAGGAAGAGAGCAAGAGAAAGAACAGTGCAGCATCACATAAGAAAAAGTATATTTCAAATTTTAAAAAGTTCAGGAAAAATGTTTAAAATACCATAATTTTCAAATATAAGGAAGGATGAATCCAAAATGCTGGCTTTTGTAACAAGTTCCTATTTTTAATATGAAAAATACTTTTTCTTATGCAACTCAATGAGTTTTATCCAATCATCGCGATAAAAGAAAAAAAATAAATTTCGGTGAAATATTGATCTACAAGCATTGGGCATATATCGTGAATACTTTAAAATTCGAATATCTCGGTTCACGCACATCAAAGGCAGCCGATGATTTTTGTCCGTACTAGTCTATACACAGATGCGATCATCGGATTGTTTTCTCTTCCTATACACTAATATTTGCTCAGATAAGACTTTAATGCATTTCTTTTATTCTTTCTTCTAATTTTCTCTCGTGTCATATGGAAAACTGTGGTTAGTTGCTGAAAACGAATTTTTTTTAGCTACGAACTGAAGAAACGGTTTTCTAGCAACTTCTATGTATATTTCTTGAAACAATCAAAAATTCTATTCATTCATTTATTTTTTAAATAAACTGGATATGAAAGTGTACTAGAGTGAAAAATAGCAAAGAAAAAATAACAGAATGCTATCAATATCGACGAATAATTTTTATAGCCACTATAATATTTCCATGCAAACTGAAATAACATTTTAAAGAGAAACATGGGTCTCATACACATGGATTTTCGTGTGAATAAAACAATTATTGATCGTTGTTTACTATGGTTATAGGCATCGCATATGGTGTCCTGGCTGGTTTGTCGGCGTCTAATGGTAAAATATAATACACAACATAAAAATCAAATATTATTTTAAAAAACACATATTTTCCCTATAGGATTATATGTTTCCTTCTTTCCTGTTATTGTCTATATGATTTTTGGTACATGTCCACATTTATCGATCGATCAGTTCTCTCATCTGAAGAGTTTCTAAAAAGAAATTTCCACCTTTTCTCTTACAAAGGTACATTTGCCATCATATCATTATTGACAGCCAAAGCAATCGACGGAATCACACTGCAATCATCGATTTCAAATATCAATAACACAATCGCAGAATCAAACATATCGTATATTTCAGAAATATCAAATGATGCTCTTATGAATGAAAAGTTGGGCATAGCTACTACGCTTGCATTTTTTGTTGGACTTATTCAAGTGCGTAATCGAAGTTGTATGAAATACAAATCGGGCATGAAATTTTCTTTCAGCTCATACTATGGCTTTTTCGGCTTGGTTTTATCACGACTTACTTGATGGAGCCCTTCATAAGTAGCTTGAATGTGGCAGCTGCTGTACAGGTCTTGTCTAGTCAAATCCCACATGCTTTTGGGGTACCCAATCCAAACAATATTCAAGGCCTTTTAAAATTACCCAAATACTATATTCGAACTATTGCACCGATTTTCAAAAGCATCAATTTCGTATCAATGGAGATAACATTGGCATCGATTATTATTCTGCTTGTAGTAAAAGAACTAAATGAGCGATACAAGAAGAAAATACGCATTATAATTCCTATTGAACTCATTTTTGGTAAGTCAAATTTCAATTCTAAATTCATGGGAAACTACCAATCATTTTCTTGATTGAAAAATGAAGGTAATTTTGGGTACATTAATATCATACTCGCTGAAACTTCGTGATCAACACGGCGTCTCGATAGTTGGCCGTGTTAAGCGTGGTCTACCTCCACCAGCTGTTTCAGCTTTTACTAATATTTCGCCTTTGCTTATATCGGCTATTACGATTACTGTTGTCAGTCTATGTCTCAATATCTCTGTGACTAAAATGTTTGCTCGAAAGTATGACTACAAAGTACGCTCGAACCAGGTACGATTAATTTTTCTATCGTAAAGAATATACTCTAACTCATGATCACGCTCAACTTTCACTTCATTACAATAATATTTTCTAACTGATAATCTCATTTGCTGGGTCATATTGAGAAAGTTGAATATATTCAGCATCGAACATTCTATGATTAAGTGTATGAAAACTAGCATCGATTCTACTAATCTAGTTGAATTTATTCAATTGTTTTGTTTTTCAATTTACATGCTATTTTTACTGTAATCATCATTTTCCATCATATCATTCGGTCGTTGCTAATTATATCGTACACTACAAACTATCAAGAAAATTACAGGAATGTCTTGAAATAGTAAAAAAGATAATAAAGTGGCAGATCGAACCTTCTCAAGTTATATTGTAAAATTGAAGCAACTTTTCATAGACTTTTAAATGAAAGCGTATATGCTAAGCATTTTAAGCTTTCTCAATCATGTCTATCGCATGAGATTGTCACATGGATAACGATACGGCACCTTTGGATGTGGATAGCGAGTTAATCAATATCAGACCTTCTTTTCAGTATCCACTGCTAGCACATTTACTGAGCAAGTTTTCATTCAAAGAGATACCAGTAATCTTAAAAATACTTTCTTTTTTATTTTCAACATTAGGAACTACTTGCTTATGGATTGGGAAACATTTCCTCGTCATTTTTTCAATGCTATCCAAGTTCAGGCTCATTAAGTCGTTCAATGGTACAAGGAGAAAGTGGTGGCAAAACATCACTTATTGGTGGTTTTTCTTCTGTGATTTTAGCTGCCGTAATTCTAGTGCTATCACCTCTACTTGAATCTCTTCCTATGCCGTGTTTAGCCGGTATTATCATTGTCAATCTCAAAGGGCTCCTGCTTAAAGTTACTGACTTTACTTATTATTATCGTATTAGTATGATGGAAGCCGTAAGTCGAATGAGCAATAGTGAAACATCTTATCATAGCAACATCTCTTTTTCCATACAATAGGTCCTTTGATTTATCACATTTTTGACTGTCATTTTATCCGACGTTGATATGGGTGTTTATGTAGGTATAGCTACTTCGTTTCTCATGAACACGATTCGTACGCAAAGGTAATCTCATTTGTCGTATGTGAGTGTCTAAGTAAACATTTTTTTTTCTAGGCCACGCTTCGCTGTCCTCGGTCGAGTAGGTGATACTATACTCTATAAAAATATAAAAGTGTTTCCATCTGTAAGTGATCAATTGAGTTTCGAGCAGAATTCTTAATATGTAGCTAGTGTCTTTTGATAGGCTGAAAAACATCTCAATATCAAAATTCTTCGTTTCGATGGATCTCTTTATGCGTGTAATGCGCCTTTTTCAAACGAAAATTCTATGAATTAATCTGTATACATCTTGGAGAACAACCCCTCATCTCACATAGTAAACCGAAAACGATTGAGATCCAGGATACTACTGACAAATATGTCGTTCTCGACTGTTCACCAATGAATTTTATCGATAGTGTGGGTGTCAAACTACTCATTGAGGTGCGTATGATTAACGAAACATAAAAAGACGAATACTGATGTGTATTTCATTCATGTGATACATTTTAGATTTACAATGATATGAAAAAACGAAATATTCATCTATGTTTAAGCGAATGTCGTCGTAAGTTGATAATTCAGCTGAGATTTTTGTGGAAGTCATGTATTTTTTCGAAGAAAATAGTCAATGTAAGTTTTAAGTCCAAGTTTTATAGTTTCCTTCGCTCCTGCCTCATTACAAAGCTTAGCAGCCACAATTATAGGCGCTAGATGGCATTAATAACAAAGCTTAGCAGGTTTCAGCATATTGCACAATCTTCCTTGAAATTTAAATGGCTTGATGACATTTCTCAGGATTCTAAATAACTTAGTTTCTGATTTTTGCATAGATAAACGATTATATGATACATATCAGTGATGCTATTTTTATTTCTCATAACTACCATATGATTAGAATGACAACATAAGCTGATTGAAGTTTGACTTTCAGAAGTAATCAATGCCAGAGCTTCTGAGTTCATCGAGATAAATAATAGATGGCAAAGGTTTTCTGTAGACATAGCAAACTTGCACAACGGACTTATTTGTTTATTGAATCAAGGATTAGACTTATAATAATGAATTATGCCAAATCAAATAAAAAAAAGAAAATAAATACAAAGCAGATAGCAATAAGAAAAATGGAAAAAGAACGCCAGTGGAAATAAAAGAAAACAAAATTTTTGTTTGAAATATATAAATACATAGGACAGAGCGTTTATTGACTATTGGTTATCTCTTATAAATTTTACATATTGCCTGTTTTGTATTAGTACAATTAACCTAAGTAAGACATGTGAGTTCCACATTTCAGCATAGAAGAAGCTGCGTTAACTAATTTTTCATTATTGATTATCGGTCTTTTGAAGTTGATGTTCGTTATACATTGGATTCGATGGATTTTTACGGGAAGACGGAGGATCGTATCATCTATGTCTCAACACACGATGCCGTTTTGGCCATTCTAGCTGACATACAAAACAGTAAGCATACGGCTCAGATTAACTATGAATTCTCTTTTAATTTTCTAGATTCCATCACAGAAACTAATCCACAAACCGTCATCACACCAGTTTGATTTTCGGTTTAAAGATTTTTCTTCTTCCCATGGCTTCAGAGTAACCAAAACATAGCAACATATTTTTTCAACTATTTTACTTGCTTGACACTAATCAATCAGCTAAGTACATCTTTGTTTGCTTTTTGTGTATGGTAATAACTTTGAAGTTCAGTCATACTCCAATTTCTGAATGAATTCTATACAATTTGAAAAAAATAACACTATCTAGGAAAGCTCATTTCTTCATTTGAAAAACAGACGAGAACATGCTTGATCGGCGTCGGCAGTCTTTAAATTCATATTCATTTATCCATATGAACATTCACAAGATTGTCAGTCACTGGTTATGTCCTACTTGAAACTTGATGGATACATCTCGGTATTCTTTTTTTTCCTTGGTTTTACATGATTTCAAGGAACTAAAAATCCTTTTTGATGATTTTGTGTGAGTTGAAGCGATGTTTATTGATGCTCCATGATTCTTGTGCTACTTGCTATGATTTTCAAATGATTCCCAGCGATTTTTAGTCATTTATGTGCGCTTGTGATTGTAAACTCACCAAAAGCGTTCACATTCACCTTATCTAACCCACAATCATCCTTTACGCAGTGTAAATCGTTCCATTTGTGATGTCTTTGAATTTTTGAACTTTGTGAATGTGATAATAATCGTGTTAAATGGCACACATCATGATGAGGCTTTTGTAAAATGTTTTAAAAGACATCTTCGTGCACTCTATGATAATACCAAAATAGAGAGATCTCCAAGACTCGAAAATAACAGATTCCCAAGTCAGTCATGTTCGCTTGTACACAGATGTATACCAATCAATCAAGACGGAAAACGGCAGGTGTTAACAGTAGTTGTTTACAGTAATTGTAAATGATGTTTTATAATGTATTACGGCTATCGTAAATAATGACTGTAGCAAGTCGCCGCCCGTGATGGACTGTGAGTGTGGGTGTGGATGGATGTGGGGTGCAGGTGTGGATCGAGAATGAAGAGGATCCATACTTCACTAATACTCAAACTCATACTCCATTCCCACACCCTTTATTTTCAGTGCATTTTGATGATCAAAATGCAAATCTAAACATATACATTTATATTTTTACTTCATCAAAACTAATTATCGTTTTTTAAACAGACTGTGCCAGTAGCATTATTAGGACACATTAAAACTGCCCAAGAAAATCTCATCAAAACTAAACGATCTACTAATAGTTTTGTAGCACCATTAAGCAAGAATAGGATTTTTATCAATATGAGTCTATTTTATTATTTGTGTGCAATCAATGCTTGATTGATATTTCCATGAAAGTTATCATTTCAGACATTGAAAAGCAGTAACAGATAAAAGTTACAACGATCAATTATAATGGTCCTACATAGTGCCACAATATTATTTTTGCTCTCTGTTGTCAAGAATCATTTTATCCAAATAATTCGCTTTATTATTTAACAAATTAATCTTTCAGAGAATGAAAATCACATTTAATATGCATGCAATATGTACTTTACATATTCTTGTTGAGTTTTACATGCCAAGGAATGAATGTTAAGCTTAATATCGAAAAGTTTGTCTTGGAGATATATGTAGTGCTACAACTAACAAATATCGAACATTTCGTTTTATGGAAGTTCCACTTCAATGACAGACGTAAAAACGTGTCATGTTCAGATTTAATATATCAAATGATGTAATAATAAAAGACTGGAGACCTTCGGAACATGAAAAATAAGTTGTGACAAGGTATGGATGTGAGTAAATTGATCAGACCACCCACATTATGATTCACATTCACTCACATTCACACTCATACAACCGCACTCACCGTAACTATAGAAGATAATGATTCTTTTTTGTTTGACGATAGTCGAATGAGGAATTCTGACTTTATTTCAACAAAAAAAAATTTTAATTGTGGGTATTGATGTGGGTGTGGGTGAGTGTGGGTGTGGGTGAGTGTGGATGTGGGTGGGTGATGTGCTGGTGTGAATGTGGGTGTTCGTCTGTTCTTAACCCATACTCACACCCACACCCCACTCATTCACACCCACACCCTTTTTTTCTACTTTTTCACTGCTGCAATGATGCGTTCCGCTTCGCTGCAGGCCATCATAAATCGATAGAGAAAAAGTTCTTTATATGATCCACATTGAACGGTTTTCAAAAAAGACAGTTGTATCATTGAATTACATCTGAAAGCCCTTGTAGAATTCTAAAAAGTGGATTATTTTCGTTACTTTGAGGAAATTATAAATGATCCGGAGCATTTTTCACAAAGGAATCTGATTCAACTGAAGCTTTCAATTGATTTCGCGCGTAAGTAATCTCTTCAAGATAGCGACCAACGTTTGAATCGGAATGGCTAACAGTAAATTGAGCATGCTGGACAATAAACTCCACAGATACTAAAAACTGCTCGAATCCGATGCGAATGAATGGATCAAAACATGCTTGTGGTGCAAATACATTATATATTATCTGTCGATTACGCAAATGCTTTCTTGCATATGATTCATCTATTCCTTTCGATTGCGGATCAGCATAATCTTGAATAGAGTTCATCACAGACACATCATCCGTCATAATGAATACCGATGAGAATGTTCGATTTTGCCTCTGTTCTTCATCAACTAATCCTTTGACATACATTGAGATGTTGCGCCACCTATGATATTTCCGCCAAAATGAATCTTCAGGCATTTTGTCGCCACGACGAATAAATATTGCTGCTGTGTCATTTAAAGTACGTTGATCTTTATCTCTTAAGTAATTTGACCAATGTTCAGCCAGTAGATGTGTCATTTGATGAATGCGTGGCGGAAAACGATGAAAATAGACTACGAACATATATCGAAGAAATCCTGTAAAAACACGATCTTGCCATGTTACCTTGTATTGGTGGCCAGGTAGATGTTGATTCGGCTGGTCCTGCGCTCGATTTCTTGGCGTCCACTGATCAAGAAAATTATTAGTCAATGATGGAGCTCGATAGATATGTTCGTCTGTGTGATTGGTCAGCGCTACGACGGGCAGATTGTACGTTGGATTAACTTGATTACGACTAAACATCCATCGGCGAACTGGTACGTGCTCATAACCGAATACCCATACTTTGTCAGTGCCTAATACAGAGTGCTTACTAGTTTTCAACTGATTGACATAGAGAAGTTGTTGAATATCTGTCACGTACGATGAAAGATTACTTTTATCTCGAAGTATCAATTCAATCGATTGCATTCGGGAGTCTTTTAAATATTTGGAACATGTAGATATCGGTTCGAAGTATCGTACAATGCCTTCATGAAGAAAATCATCTCGATATGATTGTGAAACATACAAACGATTGTACGAAAGCAGTGTCATCCAGGGGCTGTATAATGTCTGACCGAACTGTTCAATAAAGCAGTGATAGCGACTGAAGAATCCCCACTGATGTTGTTTAATAACAAAAAATCGACGATGAAGACAATCATTAATTATCTGATCATCGGGTCTTTTTTCGTCGATCGTTTGTTTATTTGAAAGATAAACGTACATTTCATGCTCAGCTGCTTCATTCCATCGTACATCGCCATTAGCATCAAGCCATAAAATAGGTGGAGAGGATGATGAGCGAAACACACTTTCTGAGTAGTTAAATATGAATGACGAACGATATGAGACGATCCTGCTACGAGACTGATATCGACTGAAATAAATATCCGACTTTAACAATGTTCCAGATTCAGCCTGCTGAAATAGCCT